AATAAAATATGTATTCTAATTAAAACAATATGGTTTTGAAATAGAAAGTTAAAATTTTTGCAATAACGAACAATGTTTGATTTAAGCAAAAAGAAGAAAAAATATTATTAGGATAATTCTAGTTTGACATCCATATTTTTTTAGGGTGGTGATTCAAAAAAAATAATATTTTTAACCTTTTTTTAATGACTAAAAATATAATCAAATTATATTTTAATTCTTTCCACAAAGAGAAAATAGTTGCAAAATTGATGGATCTCAGCGCTGTAGGTAGGTGCACATTTCCACTTGGGAAAGGACTCGGCTTTCGCCTCGCCATCGATCCGAACCCGTGACCTTGGCTCTGATACCAATTGATGGATCTCAGCGTTGTACTATGCTCACTTCTCAGGGGTCACCCATCCTGGGATTAGTTCTATGATACCTGGTTGTCATATCCTACTTAAAACCAATTGGTGATAGGTAGGTGGACATTAACCATTTAACTACATCTCTCCATGGTAAGCCACAGCGCCACGTCTCGAATCAAGCAGGGGCTGAACTCGGCCAACCCGGACGACGCCCAACAAAAATGAATAGAAAAACATTAAAAAAAATGTCATAAGTTCCTTAGCTTGTGTACACTAATTTCATTGATACAATACTAATATATAAACAACATGTCCATCATCATCATCATCAAAAGGTTGGAACATATTTTGTAACAAGTGAAATCAAGAATAATAATAATACATCAAAGAATATTCAGTTTAAAAAGTTTGTACATAAAATCTAAAAAGAAAATACAATAAATTTTGAAATATCTCATCAATTTACAAGTAAGAAATCAAAATGTACAAGTATAATGCTCTCATGTTTTGTTTTGTTTTTTTAAATTTAATAGAGCTTTTTCCGCAAAATGGTCCATCGACTATTGCTCATTTGCTCATTCTTAATTTTAATTTGCATTTCGACTTTCAATTGCACTAAATATGGTCCCTCGACTTTTAAAAACTCACCCAATTCAATCTTTCATTAGGTATTCCGTTTACTCAGCATTAAAATGGAGGGCATTTTGGGCTGTTCACCTATTTTTTGCCTAATACACTCAACAATAGTCGATGGACCATTTTAGAAAAAAAAACTATTTTATTTATTTCTATTGGAAAAATAGCATTAAAATTGCATTTTAAGTGGCTATTTGTGGTAAAATTATTAGTGGGGTCCACTTCTGATTTGGGTCAGGTCAAACTGGATTCGGATTCTTCGTAGTGAGACGAAGAGATTGATATATTGTACGCTCAAAACAGATAATGGGTGAATGGGATATTGATTCTCAAAGTAAACTCATTAAGTTGGAAAAATAAAGGGAAAAGGATGAAACTTTTGTCCCACATTGGTTTGGGAAGTGGATTTGCACCACTATTTATACAAGAGTCTTTCTAAAGCTTATTGAATTGTATAGCATAAAGGTTTTTTCTCTTGCGTAGGAAGGGGTGCAAATCAAATCTCAAGGCTTGATTCACGCTTGACTCATGTACGCGAGCACACCATGTGAGCTTAGTTCAAGTCATTCATTTGGGTGCTCAAACGTTGGACCGGTTTTGAGGAAAGAGTGTTTCGTTCGACTCGTACTAACCACCTTTCTTTCATCTTCCCGTCTTTCGGTTTTTGAGATTATGGTCTATATATTTGTGTGTGTGTATATATACATATATATATATATATATATATATATATATATATATATATATATATATATATATATATATATATATATATATATATATATATATATATATATATATATATATATATATATATAGTTGTTGGTTGTAATTATAATCTGGTGCTGTTGATGCTTCCCATGCGGTTGTGCGGTTGGACGCACCTTAAGCATTAACATGGCGCACCTTAAATACAGAAATCACCACGCACCTTAAGTCCACAAACAAAGCACCTTAAGAACACAAATCACTCACCTTAAGTACAAAAAACCACGCACATTAAGCACATAACAAAGCACATTGAGCACAAAACTCACACACTTAAGATTTTAAAATGTCTCACATTAAGCACAAACTCACGCACATTAAATACAAAACTCACGCACATTAAGCACAAACCTCATGCACATTAAGCATTAAACTGACGCACTTTAAGTATTTACTCACAGACCTTAATCACTAACCCCACGCACCTTAAGCACATACCCCATGCACATTAAGCACAAACTCCACGCATATTAAGAACAAATCTCAAGCACCTTAAGCACAAAAGCCCACACTTTCAATTTTAACAACTACTGACATTAATCACTAACCCCACGCACCTTAAGCACAAACTCCACGCATATTAAGAACAAATCTCACGCATCTTAAGCACAAAAGTCCACACTTTAAGTTTTAACAACTACTCACATTAAGCACAAACCTACGCACCTTAAGCACAAATCTCACGCACTTTATATACAAAACTCGCGCACATTACTCACAATAGCACTCACCTTAATTTTGACCTAGATGCAAAAATTACAAAATTGCCACCGTTTTTTTTTTTTTTTTTTTTTTTTTTTTTTTTTTTTTTTTTTAATTTTGGTGATTTTAGACGTTTATTTAAGCGAGATGAATGGCTCAGATTAAACCGCACAACCGCACCTGAGGCGTTCACCCGCACCAGAACTTATATATATATATATATATATATATATATATATATATATATATATATATATATATATATATATATATATATATATATATATATATATATATATATATATATATTTGTGATTAAATCCACTTGGTTCATTTTTCCTACAATTTCATTTTTGTTTTCAAAATCCATCAAATTAGAATTTTTGTAGATTTTTTCTTACAACAGATAGGGACCATTTTGAAAAAAAAAAAAAAAAACTCTTTTATTTGTTTTATTTTTGTTTTTTAGACTCTATCAAATTAGAATTTTGTATATTTTTTCTCACAAATATAAATAGTTAAAATTTCACACTCCAACCAAAATTTTTCATCTTTCTCTATTAATTTTTTTCCTCTGTCTAAACATACAAACTTTTCTTTATCCTATCAAGTTTTACAATACGTTTCTTAACTTTCATAAATAATTATATACTTTTTATTTTTATCTTTTTATGTTGATATGTATCTTTAAAAAATCATACTAAAAGTTCAATAGACAATCAATCACTAGGTATCACAATAAATATTATTTTTATCATTGAAAACGTCATTATTATTATTTTTTTTCTAGTTTACACACTCAAAGAGTGCAAAGTGTAGGAAAGTGTTTTTTGCACTTTTGGTCCCACGGCTATAGTGACACTATCAAGATTGATCCACGGCTTTCAAACCTTGCAATCTTAGTCCACGACTATTCTTTTTGTTGCAAAAATGATCCTTCCGACCAATTTTCTGTCAAAATCTCACCGGAGAAAAAATTTCCCATTTCAAGTAGAGATAAAATAGATATTTACATTGGCTCTGTTTGGTAAATGGTTGTTAGCTGATAGATGTTAGCTGTTAGCTGATTGTGTTAATTAGAAGGTATAACTAGTTGATAACATTAGTTGATTGTAGAAAAATGTTTGGTAAATTAGCGGTTAGTTGATAACTGTTTGGTGTAATTTCTTTTATGAAAAAAACTAATTAAAAAAAATTGCTTGGAGTAGCTTTTTGAATTTTAACATTTTAGAATTGCAAAAAGCTAATTAGTCAAACACTTGTATTGATAGTTTAACTAAATCAAACAATTAATAGTGGTCAAATAAGCCAAAATTGGCCTATAGGCAAATTTTTTTACCAAACAGGGCCATTGACCTTGCAATCTCGGACCTCCGTGGGAATAAGAGGTTTACACCTGAGCGCCCTTCAAGTTCTGCTTGTCACCTTTCATTGATAAGTAATGGTATAAATGAACATATACTCAATGCTCGAAGACGGTTTGAATTAGAACTGGGTAGAAGAAGAATTCACAATGACATAGACAAATATGTAGAGGCACTACTTCAGGCGAAGCGTTTGTGTTTGCCACAGAAGGGTGTTCCCCAAAAGCCAAATCAACTAAAGGAGAATAATAACAAAAATGCTCCCATGACTATGCCAGATCATTTTACTTGTTCACAGGGCAGAACATCAGTAACTCATTCTGTTGGCAAGTCTAATAAGGTCACACAATCTGCTCAAGCTGATTCTGCTAAGTTTAGTTCAGATAAACCCCATTCAATTGATTCTACTGTAGCTGATGATCAGCAGCGAACAAAACGGTTTGCTAATCTGCAAAAAATCTTGAAGCAAAGTGATGAGTCTTTCTATAGTGATTATATTAATAGTAGGTCCTTTTTCACAATATATTTATAGGGTTTTCCCATTTCACTGTTAGAATAATGCTGTTGGATTATCTTTTACAGTGCTTCTACGCCTATCACCAATTGAGCTTAGCAGAAATGTTGTTGACATGGAGAAAAGTGCTTCTACGGCTATCACCAATTGAGCTTAGGTTCGTGTCTGCAATTGGTTTTTTTTTTTTTTGGTTTGATTTTTTCTCACTTTGGTCAGAATAAGAGGTCAATCGTTGTCTGAGATTGTAAGGTCAATGTAAATGTCTATTTTATCCCTGCGTGAAATTATGAATTTTTTTCTCCGGTGAGATTTTGACCGAAAATTAGCTGGAAATAACATTTTTGCAACAAAAACAATAGTCGTGGACTGAGATTGCAAGGTCTGAAAGTCGCGGATCAATCCTGATAGTGCCACTATCGTGGGACCAAGAGTGCAAAATACTCGTGTAGGAAAAATGTTGGACTTGAATGTAAGTTTTTCCACCAAACTTAAACTATATCCTTTGATCGAAAGGTAAGTTTACTTCTCGGTCATACAACCGAGAGGCGCACTTCTAGGTCAGAAATGTGTTTCTGGCATTTCTTGGAATCATTTAATAATTTATCACTCATCCGGTTGCGTAAAGATGTCTTGATTAACTTCATAACAGAAAATGCTCTTTTCACACTAGTAGTTGCAACCGGTAGGATCAAAGACAACTTTAAATGCAAATACACCAATGTATAGTCTAAATGTCTTCTCGTTTCCACCATTTTTTTTAGCTAATTCATCAATACCATCCAATTTAGAGAAAGCAGGATCAGAAGTCACATCAACAAAATAAGTCTGCAGTTGGTTATCTAGTAATTCAAGTTCAATATTAGAAAAATCATTTGGATATAACAGTGCCAATCGAACTAATCTATCCTTATCAAACCTAGCAAATGAATTCTTTGGATTAAAACATGCCACGAATAAGAGCAACTATGTATTCTTCTTATTAAAATAGTTGTTTAGCACTTGGAGTTGTAGATATAGGACCACATAAAACATTTCAACATGGTACCTATGAAGATGAGTCATTTCTTCAACTTTACGGCGAGGTCTTCCTGGCACTACATAAACTTCATACAAATTAAGTATGGGAATTGAATGCTTGTTGCAAAAGAGTGAAACTTCTTGTAAAAGAGCTTCCCACCCATTATCTCATCATTTGCAATCTTTTTTTGAGACATCAACTAATCTCATGGCATTCACAATGTTTTGATCTTTCTTTTACAATTCCTGTGATAAATCATTCGTAATTCCTAAAATATCCCTCATTAAGTGCAACAAGAACACAAAATCAAAGCGTAAGATATTCTTCAATACTCTAAATGCTTCTACCCTTTGTTTTAGATCCTGCCTTATTTCGTCAATAACATCAATCACTTGGGAAAATAATGTGACAATGCTCAGAAGTGCACCGTAATGAGATCCCCGATGTGTATCACCAGGACGTTGTAAAACTGCTTCTTGATTCAAACCAGTTCTTGTTTCAATTGTATCACTAGAAATTGAATAAATCAACATCTTTAATTGTTTTTCTCGTAAGCTATCCATGCGCTTACATGAAGCATAAACAATATTGCACAATTACGAGACAATGATAAAAAAATCTCCAACATCTTCATTTTCCTTTGCAACACCTACAAGTGCTAGTTGTAATTAATGAGCGAAACAATGAACATAAAAAGCACTTGGATTCTCATTCATAATCAAAGTTCTAAGACCGTTGAACTCACTACACATATTACTTGCTCCATCATAGCCTTGACCTCTTATTCTTGAAATGTTTAAACCATGCCTTGTTAGAAGATCTTCAATGGCTACTTTAAGAGACGTAGAAGTAGTGTCAAGAACATGAGTAATGCCAAGAAGACGCTCAACAATATGCCCACTTGAATCCACAAACCGAATGAACACAATTATCTGCTCTTTAACTGATATCTCTCTCGACTCATCAACCATTATTCCAAATAAATCATCACCAAGATCATTGATTAATTATTATTTGAGTTATCTCACTTGCAATTGCATTAGCTATACCTCTTTGAATGGATGGAGCAGTCATTTGGTGATTTTCAAGTGCATTTCGCATCACTACTTTGGCAACATCTTCATTATTATCCGCAAGGAACTTTAAGGCCTCAAGGAAGTTTCCTCTATTAAGTGAGTCGTAGCTTTCAGTCTTTCATCATGTCCACGAAAAGCAAGTCCTTGCCTTAAAAGAAACCGGATGCATTTAACTGATGAAGGCAATCGAACACGATAGTCTTGTTTAGTTTGCTCGGATTGTGTTGATACACAAACTTGTATGTGTTGCTCTTGAGTCATTAAGTCTCAACAAGCTTGTACATTCCTTGCGTGAGCACTATTATGATTGCCAACACGTGCACGCAACCTTTTCGGCCCTTTTTTCCAATTGTTGAAACCTTCTGTAACAAATGACTCTCCTCTTGCTTGTTGCCCGCTACTTTTATCTTTGAATAGATAACAACATAAACAATATGTTGCATCTTCTGATAGACTATACTCCAACCAATTACTATGATCTTTAAACCATTTAGGATTAAATCTCCTATTAACACCTGTAATCACTCTAGTAGGAAAAACATGAATTTTTGTTGACAATGACCCATTTGTAGATATCTTCATCGCACAATATCTCTATTATTGATATGATACTCATAAATACCTTTCCTTTTACCCGGATCAACTTCAAGTTCATCTATGTTAAGTTCAATATGAGGCTTTGCACTTAACACTTCAGGACTACCTTAACTAGATGAATCCTCAAAAGTTGATTTTCTTTTAAAGAATTTTTCCATAACTGAACCAAATTTCCAACAAAAAATTAACATATTAACATATAATTCATTATTCATGACAAATTGACAACCAACATAATTTACAGAGTTACAGAATATGTGTAACACCCCCAATTTTCATACAGTTGAGCCTAGTATAAACATACCTTAAAAGGTAGAAATGCGGAATAAAAGAAAGGGTAAAATATATATTAATTACCCAACATAATCATAATTTGGGATGCTACTCCGTAGCCACTCTTACGAGAGTAAGTACACGGAAAAGCTAACTAACATACATCATCATAAAACATCATTAAGGGCCCATAAACTCAAATATTCAGAGTCTAAGCTCAACCTAAAAAATAAGGCTCACAAGCATAAGTGTCAACGCACTAAAACAAAACAAAAAAGGGTAGTCTAGGCTACACGAGTCTAGCATCAAGATGAAGTAAAGAGGATGGAAAAAACTAGGAACTAGAACCAAAACCCTATACAATCTAGCTCCATCTAACGCGCTCAGCAATCATCGGTCAAACCTGAAAAGGGTTAAGTAAAAAGAGTACGAAAATAACCAGTTAGCACGAATGTTAAGTGTAAATCACTATCCCGTAAAGTACATATAGATATAGATTTTGGGAAAATATCTAGTTTTTCACTTATAATTAACACATTAAACCAAATCAAGATCATAGATGTAAGTCAAATAGGTTCGCAAGTATGTATATATATATATATATACTTATACAACAATAGTACTTAACTTATAAGTAAATAGCTCACATTTAAGTGAAATCCATATTCAAGTACTCATGCAATTCATACTCAAAATTATATATGCTTATTACCTATTAACGAGTCATGAATCTAGTTGACTTAACAAATTCAAGATTAGATAAAGTGACATGTAATCATGTGAACAACCAAATCATAAAAAGAAGATGAGACATCATATCATGCATGTTATTGGAAGTAAAGTGACATGAAGTTATCATTATGCACTCTCTCAAGGAAAATGATATTATATTTATATATGTATATATAGATAGTAATAATGGAGGGGCCTTCATACTTCCCATGAATCATAATGCCAAACCATCGATCTCATCATATCACAATTTCATCATGTCATCAATCTCATCATATCATCTCAGTGGGGAGGAAGGAATTTCACCATCTGTGAATGAACCTAATCCAGGCTCAGTAACTCTCTAATGGCCTAACAACGACTCGCCCACATATCTCATAAGTAACATGGAAACATGACCGATATCTTAAGTGTATACACTCCCTAATTGGGATTCCAAGCCGAGCGGGTAATAACTCAAGCGCCGAAGTGAAACCCATGATTTTTCTACCAGGCCACTTTAATATTTTCTAGGAGCGTTCCACCGGGTCTCATGACAACATAATTCCGAGAGTGTTCCACCAGGTCTCATCACAACAAAATTCCAGGAATGTTCCACCGGGTCTCATCACAACATAACCTCATTTCTTTCAAGTAACCAGAATACGAACACCACCTCCAAGATATAAGGATTTCCTCACATGGTATTATTTTACAATATAGCACACAAGTGGCATACTACATACGCCTAAAATGTAGTTGAGAAGATAGGGGATACGTGATAAGCATGTGGGATATAAAGTTTAGTCAAAACAATGCGGATCATATGCAAGGACTCATACCCAAGGGGTTCTTGAAACCACCAACTCAAGTAGCATGTAACACATAGCAAATTAGAACAATCCCCCCCCCGAGTTCCACGGGTCACGGAAAACCCGCAAAACACAAGTGACCGGACCCGCGCAGAAGGACAAGAGCCCTTGGCCACGCGGGCTGGGCGATGGGTCTTGTGAGACCCACTGCGCCAACCGCGCAGCCTGGGCGAAGGTGGCAGGCGGCAAAGGGCCTGCCACCCAAGCCCTGCCAGTAGACACGCGGGCAGGTCTCCCAAGACCCGCGGCCAGGCCCGCACGCCGTCGAGGGGAGGCGTGGCAGTAGCGTCGTCTCTCTGCTCTGTTTCACCCCTGGGCAAATTTCCCACTTCCAGACCTGCTACAACTCCCAAATCACACCACCAAGTCAATAACATCAACATTACAACATTATTCAACACCTTCCAATCATCAAACACAAGATTTATATCATTTCTGAAGCTCAAACATTCTCAACAACAATTATGTCACATTCTCAGACAAATAAGGAAAAATACTATATTTTGGATGTCCATGGGTTATACCTCAAGCTTGATGCTTCAAATTAAAGCAAGAATCCCTCACTAAGCTTCAAACTTGGTCTACATACATACACAATCAGGGTGAGAAACTAGGAAGAAGAGAGATGAAGGAAAGCTTGGAAATGAAGGAAATAGATGAAGAAGTCTTACTCTGAGTCCTCTACAAATGTGTGGAATGAGGGGGGGGGGGGGGGGGGGGGGGCACACATGTCCGTTACGGGAGGGGCTATATGTGCACCATTTTGATAATTGAGGGGCAACATTTACATCACTCATAATTCAAGAGTGACATTGATAATTGGCATATTATAGAGGGGCATTTTTTACAATTTTTCCTAAATAAAATTAAAAATTAAAGAAGAAGAATAAGAATAAGAAAGAAAGGAAGGAAGAATATATATGAAAAACATTACTTGCCTTCATGTCTTGATCAATGATCAGTATGGATGTCAGTGAAGCAAGTGTAGTGCTTACGTGAGGACAATGCCAAGATGGCCTTCTCGAATTTAAGGTTTTAAAAAATTATGTAACAGATATGTATTTCCTTCAAATTTCTCATAAGAAGAGAACGTAAATATTGAGAAAAGGAGATGAAACATAGTAAATTGACCATTTTGCCCTTCATTTTTAGAGCCTTTGGACGGATTTTATATAATGGAGGACGAAATTGAGTATAATTTTAAACGTCAGAGGATTAAATTGTGTAATTTTTAAGATCGGAACTATATTAAGCAAAACTCAGCAGTCGAGAGGTCAAAATGGATATTAACTCTAAATAATTATTTGATTTGTTTTTTTTTTTTTTCCTGAAACGGTGAAATTATATATGAAGATTCATTCGATGTTGTTAAACACGGGCAGAGTGCATGGGGACAAAAAGAATGCATCAATTATATTGCAACGTTAAAACCATCATATCATTTGTCCAACAACTATTTTCAATGCCGAAAACAGCTCCATTAAGATTTGAGAACCCCCCCCCCCCCCCCCCCCCCCCCACCAACATACTATTCCAAAATTTTAAGAGGTCAATCTTGAAGCTAGAAATTGTCATTTGTCAAGCGGTGTAACATACAGCTATATATATATACGAAATCAAATGTTGAATAATAATATGTGTTTTTGTCTGTGTATGTGAATCATGCATACAGCAAATGAAACGCACACAATTCCAGTCAATCTTGTAGAAAACAATTTAATTGTTGTATATAAAACAATTCATAGTCAACTTAGGTTTTCGATCGAGATGTTATGTACATACAATACATCAATAAAACCAAAATTCTCAATGAAATCGAATGTCTTCTTTGGATGGACTTTAATTAGTCGTTTGCCGAACATCTTAGGGTTTTAGGTTTCTCTTAGCTTGCTCAATTGCTGTTTTCAAATTTTGACTTTCTGCCTTATTTTTTTCATCAAGTCCGATTTCTTCTTTTTCATGTCGTCATAATCACAATCTCAAATTCTCAATAATTATTATTTCAAGTCAAACTTAAAATTCGTAATTGAATCTACATCTAATCCACCAAATTTATTATTAGAGGATCAAATTATATTAGATCGATCCTTACCCCTAGTGGATGCGGATGCAAATGAAACTTTTCAAAACCACTTTTAGTGGATTAGATGCGGATTCACTCCTAATCTGGTTCATCCTCACCCCTACTTATATATATATATATATATATATATATATATATATATATATATATAGGTTCTCGTGCGGGTGAGGGCTTCAGGTGCGGTTGTGCGGTTTAATCTGAGCCATTCATCTCGCTTTAATCAACGTCCAGGATTATCAAAGTTTTAAAAAAAAACGCGGTGGCAATTTTCTAATTTTTGCATCTAGGTCAAAATTAAGGTGAGCGGATCTGTGATTAATGTGCGTGAGTTTTGTGCTTAATGTGCGTGTGTTTTGTGCTTAATGTGCGTGAGGTTTGTGTTTAATGTGCGTGGGGATGTGCTTAACGTGAATAGTTGTTAAAACTTAAAGTCTGTGAGTGAATACTTAAAGTGCGTGAGTTTTGTGTTTAATGTGCGTGATGTTTGTGCTTAATGTGCGCGGGTTTTGTACTTAATGTGCGTGAGTTTTGTACTTAATGTCAGTAGTTGTTGAAACTTAAAGTCTGTGAGTTAATATTTAAAGTGCGTGGGTTTTGTGCTTAATGTGCGTGAGGTTGTGCTTAATGTGTGTTGGTTTTGTACTTAAAGTGCGTGAGTTTGTGATTAAGATCTAACACTTAAGGTGCACCTTAGCTTATACTTCTTTGTTCCAGGCACGCGTTTTTTTTTTTTTTTTTTTTTTTTTTAATTTTCATTGATTTGAGCCGTTGATCTAAATTTGATCAACTGCTCAGATTTAACCGCACAACCGCACGGGAAGCTATACCCGCACCTGAACCCTTCCCTATATATATATATATATATATATATATATATATAATCATTTTCTAAAGTTTAGTTATGTAGTTTGTCATGCCAAGGAGTACATTTTTCCTTTTACATTCATGTACTATTCTAGATCCTCAAATTAATTATGTGTAACCGGCCATGTACGGTACATATAGTAGTAGTGTAAAATCAATAAAAAAATTTGGTCAAGTTATTTGTGTGTAATATTTTCTTATGTATGTATAACATGTATAGAATTTCGTTGAATATTTAACAACCACATTAATATTTCAGTTTAGATATGCAATAACATTCAAACCAAACTAATGAATCAATTAAATCTCTGATACTGTATCATTATAAAAAAAAAAAAAAAAAATTGGGCTTATTTATTGTACACAAATATCTAACGCCTAGTTACCTAGTTTAACCTAGACACTTGCTAATATGAAGCATATGATCTATTTTACAAGAAGTTTTCGAGCCAGCCAGCTCATAATTCCATCTGGTCCCACTATGGTCTATGGACAAGAAAATATACTCTTTTTTCTTTTATGAAAAATACTATATGTACTCTAATTCTTTGCTCTCAACTTTTACTTTCACTTAAATTTTTTATGTAAAAATATCTACAGGAGCACAGCCCACATGAAGAAAATAGTTTAACAGTACCCGCCATATCAGTGAGTAAATTTAAAGGAGTAAAATTTTGAAGTACATATAGAATAAATTTCTTTTATTCATATTGAGTTTTTTTTTTTTTTTTTTTTTTTTTTTTGTGATCCATTAAGTTTTGGTCAGAAACTTCTTACTATTCGATATTGATAGTTGGGTAAATGTCCTATAACTAGTATTTTCCTATATTCCACGAAAACTTTGTGAAGATAACATTTTTTCCGTTTCAGAAATATTTGCTCTCCCCGAAACTCATGAAAACTTATTCTAAAATGTTTTCATGTCATTTTATAATTAATCAGAAGTTTTAGTAAAATTTTTGGACCATTTTATAATTAATTTTTTTTAAAAAAAAATTAGACACATGTTTCTTGGGTCGGATGTGCTCTTTCGACCCAAGTTTGAAAAACTTTGACCTAAAAAAAAAATGAAAATGCATTTTTGACCCATTTTCAAATTTTTGTGCAAATAAAAAATTGGAAATATATATGTTATGTTTCTGGTTTGCCAGCTAGCTAGGATAATAAGGCGGGCTTCACCAGAGCGCATCCTTCAGGTAGCGATTGTAGACTTTCTTGCAAATTAAAAATACTTTAGGCTCTCTCAATATTCATTTTTGTTCTCTAACTTATTTTGATCTTTTTGACGATTTGCCTCATTTTATTCCTTTTTGCTCTCGAATAGAAGAGCTGACCAAGCAACATGGAGGCAGACCCTTGTGTGCAGAAGTATACATGTTGTGAACTTGTAGTTAGCTGAGTTATCACGATTTACCGTCTTTTAAAATTTTTAAAAAAAAATTGACGGTACCCGCACCGGCTCAATTAACCCACTATATTGACACATACACACATTATACATAGAAGAGACTCCTCATATCCCTGTTTTTGTAACTCATGATTGATTTCAAATAAAATTTCCCCTCATAGGCAATTAACAGTTTTGATTGAAGGAAAAAAAAATATATTGATTTAAAAGTGATGCAAATAATTGAATACAATTTAGATTCCTTTATAATTTTATTAGGACAAATCCGATCCTCTCTAATGTATGTACACGCTGAATTAAATCTTTGAAAGAGCAAAAAAAAAAAAAAAGGACTTGTGATTTGTACGGAGTATATATCTACAGAGAAAATGCTATCTCTTTCTCTCACTACACATAGGAATAATTATGATCAAATATTTGAAAGTCAACCACTCGGAGAAGACTAATTAAGGAGGACAAGTGTTTGGTCTTTATATCGCGTTATTTCACTCCTCTTACTCAACAATAATGTATTATACCATAATATTTATAATTAAAAATTCGCAGCCGCAAAATAAACAAATAATTTACTAACGACTTGTGCCCTACCGACCACTTTCTTTATTCATGTGTTCTATTCTTTTCCCAGTCAAAATCCTCGCCAAACATGCATTTTCCCTCTCCCCATTTTTTAATTTCTTTTTCTTTATTTCTCTCTCCCCCTTCTCTCTCACTCTCCCACCCACTCTTCCAAATTATAAGGGTTTGGTCCCACTGAAAAACATATATGAGAAAAAGGTCCAAGAATGTTAGAAAGTTTGAATTGAATTCCTTGTGAGCACATGAAAATTAATATCTGACTGGCGGATTGATTGTGTTACTCGAGATTTACCTCCGCATTGGCTTTAGGGGTAGGATTTTATGAGCTTAGAATTAGTGCGCGATTTACCTCTGCACGAGCTTAGTTCAATAGTTCAGTAGACAATATTTAGAAGAAGAGACCAAGGTTAATTCGAACCTCTGTCGCCGCAATGTGTGGATTATGCTCAAAGTGGTCAAATCTCTTGTGCACACCAGCATTTGACCCGATTTGCTGAGCCATTGTCACCGTGATTTATTTCTTCCTAAATTCTCTGTCGAGCCGGGGTGTGAGCCGGGGACCCTTGGGGTTGGGGATTCAACCTCTTGTGAGAAGAAAAAAAAAATTATAAGGGTTTGGCGTTTAGGTACCATATCACAGTCCATCATGATGGGCTTGGGGTGGGTTGTGGGGCGGGGGTGGGGTGGGGTGCGTGTATGTATCTATATATACTTCCCCTCTTCACTCTGATTTCCCTTAGCTCAAATCATCCTTTCATCTCCTACACCCTATATCTCTTCCACTCATATTTTTTGCTCAATTCTTCAAGATTGAGTAGCAAAAAATATGGGTTCATCAACTTTTTGTGGTTACATGCAATATGTAAATCGAAATCTTGCTACATTTTCCGGGGACCATCCATCTCTCCGGCGAGGCCATGTGTTAAGCATGGCCACCGCCACCGCCTCTCCTTCGTTACATGCTTCTTCTTCTGCTGCACCCACAAAAGATATTATCTCCCGAAATTATTATAACAATAATAATAATAATAATGTTAACAGTTATGCTGACAGAACAGTTACCGTTACCGCAGCTTGCGGTTCTGGTCGTCCTAGGTTGTCGGAGGTTTGGAGAGAGGTCCATGGAGCAAACAACTGGGAAGGTTTAATGGAGCCTCTCGACCCACATCTCCGGCTAGAGATCATCCGGTACGGCGAGTTTGTGACGGCGTGTTACAAAGCCTTCGATCTCGACCCGAACTCGAACCGTTACTTGCATTGCAAGTACGGCAAGGGGAGCATGTTGAGGGAAGTGGGTCTAGGCGGGTCTGGGTACGAGGTTACTAAGTACATCTACGTTCTCCCCGACATCGGCATTAGCTTATCCTCCGGCGGCGGAGATGTGGCGCGGTGGATTGGCTACGTGGCGGTGTGTACGGACGAGGAGGAGGTGAAGAGACTAGGCCGGCGGGACGTGCTGGTCACGTTCCGGGGAACGGTGACGCATTCGGAGTGGATAGCCAATTTAATGAGCTCTCTCACGCCGGCAAAACTCAACCCGTTTGAGCAAATCGACGACGTGAAAGTCCAAGCCGGATTTCTCAGCCTGTACACGTCATCCAACGAAGCGGAATCGCGGTGGGGGTTAGGTAGTTGCCGACAGCAACTGCTTTCGGAGATTTCGAGGATATTAAATGAGTACAAAGGAGAGGAGCTTAGCATCACCCTCGCCGGCCATAGTATGGGGAGCTCTTTAGCCACTCTTTTAGCGTACGACATAACCGAGCTCGGGATGAACTCCGGCGAGATCCCCGTGACGGTGTTTTCGTTTGCGGGGCCCAGGGTGGGGAACTCCGGGTTCAAGGACCGGTGTGAGGAGTTGGGGGTTAGGGTTTTGAGGGTGGTGAATGTGAACGACCCCATAACCAAGCTCCCCGGAGTTTTCTTCAACGAGAATTTTAGGGTTTTTGGGATGGAGAGATTATCTTGCTATGTCCATGTTGGGGTCGAGCTTTTGTTGGATTTTTTCAAGGTTCATGATCCGTCATGTGTGCATGACCTAGAGTCTCATATCAACTTGCTTAGATGTCCCACCCGGAGGGACGACGGCGGCAGCGCCGGAGATTTCCATTTCCTCCGGCTGGCCAAGGAGATGTTCCGTTCCGGTGAGAAAAACATCGCCGGATTCCAATGGGAATGGACCAAAGCTGCCCTTTGGCTTTACCTACTTTTGACTGTCATTAACCTAGACTCTTACACTGCTGCTTAACATGTAAATAATAACTTGGGGTGTGGTTGAGTAGTGAAAGTGACTCATCAACCCTTAACTAAAGGTCAGGTTCGATCCTTGGCTTTGGATATAGAGCACCTTAAATCTCCAGGTCAGCTGTCTCGTCTAAAATTCAGCGAGGAGATTAGACATTTGTCCTAGGGTGAAAATTCTGGGTAGACCAAAAAACAGAACATGTAACTTAATAATGCTCTGGTGGCCGGTGAAGAGTTTTCCGGCTAGTTTGCAGCCTTTTGGTGTGTAAAGTTTATCAAAAGGTTGTTCTTGGATGGCAGATATGTGAATGTGAATATAATGATTGTGCGACACGTAAAGACCCTGATTTTGTAGCTATTTTATGAGCTTTTTTTTTTCTTCGTATCTAATAATTTGATTCATCAATGGTTTCCATTTAATATTATACCACCGGCCATTAAATCTTTGCTTCAACTCAGATTTTGTTTGGGAGATATAACCTATTAACTCACATTAAACTTCTTGCACCGAATCTTGAAATATCTACTATATATTTAAATCAAGTCTTAGATATTCATTGTGTTATAAGTTACGGAGTATTATTTTCAAAACTCATCATGTATGTATATATTATTATATTAAGTATTTCATATTAGGCTAAACTAATTTTAAACACATAGAGTTTCTTTCAAGACTTTTTGAATGACACTACTACAGAATTCACATACAACGTCGGGCCTTTAACGTCGACTATGTAAATAACCGAGGTTAAAAACATTTTTATTATTATTATTTTTAAATTAAATTTATAACGTCGGCTATTTATTAATAGCCGACATTATAAATAAAAAATTAAAATATAAAAGAAATAAACAACCCACGGCGTCGGCTATTTATATAGCCGACGTCGTAGGTTGTTTATTATTTTTTTTAAAAAAATTATTTATATATAACGTCGGCTAATTCCTATTAGCCGACGTTATATACTAAAAAATAAAATAAAAAAAGAAATAAATATAATACGACGTCGGCTAACTATCTAGCTGACGTCGTATTATATTTAAAACTTTTTTTTTAATTTGTTTTATTTATAACGTCGGCTAAATGCATTTAGCCGACGTTAAAAAAGTTTATAAAATAGCCTCAAATTTTCAATTTACGGTCAGTTGCTCATCCATCTTCATCGTGTCGTCTCCGCACCATCCATCCATCTCCTCCATCCATCTCTTCATCGGACCGCCGACGCCGACGCAACCATTCCCGCTGCAACTCGCCACCGTCGTCGTCCTCGAGCAACCTCCTTCGCCGCTGCAACTTCAGGCCGCCGCTGCACCGTCTCCTCCCCGCCGCTGCAACTTCAAGCCGCCGCCGCTTCACCCTCTCCTCCCCGCCGGTGCACCGTCTCCTCCCTACCGCTGCATCGCGTCGCGCCTCCGCCGCCGTCACTACGCCATTGACGGAGGTACATTATTTATTTTTTTTAATTATTATTAATTAATTTCGAATTTTATTAAATTTATTTACAATTTAGGGTTTGTTTGTATATATTTGTAAGTTTTATTGATTAATTTCGAATTTTATTAAATTTATTTTCAATTTAAGGTTTGTTTGTATATATTTGTAAGTTTTATTGATTAATTTCGAATTTTAGCAAATTTATTTTCAATTTAAGGTTTATTTGTATATATTTGTAAGTTTTATTGATTAATTTCGAATTTTAGTAAATTTATTTGCATTTTAGGGTTTATTTGTATATATTTATAATTTTTATTCATTTATTTCAAATTTTAGTAAATTTATTTGCATTTTAGCGTTTATTTGTATATATTTGTAATTTTTATTGATTAATTTCGAATTTTAGTAAATTTATTTGCATTTTAGAGTTTATTTGTATATATTTGTAATTTTTATTGATTAATTTCGAATTTTAGTAAATTTATTTGCATTTTAGGGTTTATTTGTATATATTTGTAATTTTTATTGATTTATTTTGAATTTTAGTAAATTTATTTGCATTTTAAGGTTTATTTATATATATTTGTAATTATTATTGATTAATTTCGAATTTTAGTAAATATATTTGCATTTTAGGGTTTATTTGTATATTTTTGTAATTATTATTGATTAATTTCGAATTTTAGTAAATTTATTTGCATTTTAGGATTTATTTGTATATATTTGTAATTACTAGTCTATTTTCACCACAGCAATTATTTTAGATAGAGTTGAATCAATGTTAACAAAAGTTTAATTGAAATTAATATTATCCTAGATTGACTTGTGATGGATAAAAGTTAGGATGAAAGCTTCTCGGTTGAGTACAGAATATGAAGCCGGAGTTAGAGAATTTATAGAGTTTGCAAAACGTCATCTTCCAAATAATGACGCGACGTTTTGGTGTCCTTGTAAGAAGTGTTGTAATCTAAAACTATTAAGTGCAAAGGACATATATTCATGAGTTAAATCGTAAGTCGCTCTATCAACTATCAAGTTCCCACCCCCGCATGCGCACAAGTGATTTTTAGCTCATCTGATCAGTCAAGGTACCCCAATAACCCAAATTGGTCATCAAGTATTACTTCACTTAAAATGGCCCCTCAATTATGTAAAAGTATATTTTATTTAATTGCTTTTGATGTGTTTTGCGTTGTCCTTTTGATGTTGGCTGATGAAGTAGCTTGAAGTAGCTTTTAGGATATGGTGAAAGTTGTGTGAGACACTATCCACATACCAGATATCGTTCTCAAGGACTAGTGATAGGAGTTGAACAATTTGCCTCACAACCACAAAATAATATCTCTTCTAATAATGGAAATCTAGCCCAAGCAAAATGGTTGGATAGTGCAAATGTGCAATAATAAAAGAAATTAAGAAAGAAATGATATAACAATAAAGAGAAAGGCGAAGGGTAATAAAAACTTTAACAAGGATTGGGAATCGTGATCGAACCGAGAATAAGGGAAAGTTTCAATTGATTAGATGATAGATATCATATGAACTAAGAGGAAACTTTTCTCAAGGTCACATGAATGGCTAAGAAACATTCTCAAGTCTCATAAATGGCTAAGGGACATTTTATCAAACGCTTGGTATATATCCTACACATCTCATGCTCCTCTTTTCTCAAAGGTGAAGCATGGTTGATCAACCCCTTGAGCCTAGATTAGGTTGTCACTTCCTAATTGGGACTCAATCATCAAAGGTGAAGCATGGTTGATCAACCCCTTGAGCCTAGATTAGGTTGCCACTTCCTAATTGGGACTCAATCATCTTCATCAACATCATCACATCAAGTCTCATCCCCCCTACTCAACCAATTCAAGATCACATTTCCCAAAACCCTAGTTTATATCCCTATCACCCTCCTAAGAGTTCTACTCACATATAATGGCTAATGAAATAGCAAGGAACGCAATAACAAAAACACAATCCATAACTAGTACAAGATAACAAAGAAAGAAATTAAAGCACAAGATAATATTGCAGAAATGTAAATGATTGAATAAGAACTTAACTTTTGAAATGGAAATCTTCAATACTTTGACCCAATATAATAGTGCAATTGAAAGTAAAATCTTGATGAAATTCTAATGATGCCTGTTACACGATCCATTATGTGCGGTTCTATTGCTCTCCGCTACGAAACCTATTATGTGCATAACTCCCTTCGTAGTAGCAGAACCAGTTTTTTGATACTCTTTACTACGAACCTCGTTACGAGCATCATAGCGCTCATAATAACAGGGATAGACTTTCTGAGAATGGGCATTATAGGCCTTGTTACATGCTTAATTAAGCTCATAATATCATACCTTTTCCTTCCCATTTTTGTTCTATTTTGTCCATTTTAACCTTGATTTTGTGCTATTTTCCTACAAAACACAAAAGTGTCTTAAAATTAGTCCTTTAACATAATTTATTACATTTTGAGGCATTAAGATCACAAATAGAACAAATCCAATCCCAAATTAGTCACAATGGCTCGAAAGAGTAGTAGAAAAAAAATTGCATAGTTGAATAAAATATTTTTCAAGATGATTTTAAATCAAGTTAAGATAAGATATATATGGAAAAGTAAAGTAAGGTAAAGTGAAAGTGAAAGACACCAAGAATTTATACTAGTTCAAAGGTAATGAAATCCATCTACTCCACGCTTCTTCTATTGTCTAGGATGATATTTACTCGCAATTTGTATCACCACAAAATTACAGTGAATGATTGCAGTATAGTTCTCAAATAAATAAATACCCGGAGTATATGTTATTGATCCACAGGGAAACGGAGCGTATCAAGCACTATCTACTAATCTATTCATGAGAAGCTAATCCTATTGAAAAGAGTGATTGATCAATTGTAAAAGTATAAGTAATTAAAAGAAAACAAAGTAGCAGTTTGATGAAAGCAATAGAGAAAGGGCTTACTAATCACCTAGTGCCAATCTAGTGCCAATCTAAATTGCAATATTAAATCTGGATTTAAACAAGTGTGAGAATGCAAACAAGGGAAGGAATTACTCTCATAATTCCAACCTAAAAACGCGAGTGAATATTCATTCCCATGATATAAACACTCATACAATTCAAGAACAAGCATTCAATATAAATCCTTAATTAACTAATATGTCATTTCCCAATGTGCAATAATCAAGTGCAATTGTGGGTGCCCTAAAATATGCCCTAACTCCCGTCAAAACATAAAGATAGCAACGAAACAAGTAATTTTGGCCATTAATTATTAGCATCAACAAAATAAAACACAATTGCAACAAAAGTTATAAAACCCAAATATCAATATATTAAAGAATCTGAGAAATAGGCACATAGGTTCATAAACACTTTCACCCAAAAATCTCTAAGAGGTCTTAGCCAAGGTGACTTGTAACTCTTGATGTGTTTTTCTTCTCTCTTCTTGTCTCCAAAAACATAGCTTGATCTCTAGGGTTGAGGGAAGAAGGGCTTTTTATAGTTGGAGCTCAATAGGAGTAGATTAGGAAATTTCCGCACAGCTTTCCGAACTCAAAACACGACTTTTCGACGCGTCGAGCCTGGCTCGCCTTTCTTCGCAATAGGTAATGGAACTTTTCGACGCGTCGAATATTCGGTCCTCGAACAGTCTTAGCTACTGTAATTTCTCGATGTGTCAAAAGTATGATTCGACGCGTCGAGTCTTCGACGGCTGCGACCATGCAGCTATTGGAATGTTTTGACCCGTCGAATCCTCTGTATTAGCACCCTTCAGTCCATTTTGACTCCAAACTTATCTTAGGACTTCCTTTCCTTGCTATTGGTCTACAATGGTTTCAAAAAACTAACAAATACCGTAAAGCATTCAAATCAGGCATTAAACCATATCTACATGAAAAAACAAGGAAATATGCATTGAAAGTACTACTTTAATGAACTAAAGCTCAAAAGAAGATTCAAATTAACAAGAGAAATACTCACAAATAAGCTCACATCAGTGAATAAGACAAGTAAGTACTTTGATCACAAAACCTACGCGAGTTTGCTCAAGTTTTCATAGGACAACCCCTGTTACTTTTCTCCTATTTACCACACGATGGAGATCTACAAAAATTCAACTCAATGGTTGAAAACTCCTCCAACTAAGAGACTAAGAAAAACTAGATCTTCTATAAGTTTGAAGTCTCTTGATGAACTTGAATATAGCTTTTTTGAATGCTTGATAACTTAATATTATCTCCTATTTGTAGTTATGTTTCTAATTTGTCCGTTGGAGGAAAATAAACTTGAATCTCCCACTTGACAATAAAATATTAAGATTAGATTTGACAAGTATGTTGGCATCGAATAACTACTTGCAACTTGTCCACAAAATATGACTTTATGCGACTTTCAAAACTCTTTCCTAAAAAGGCATGTATCCACCTTGGATAATGTGTTAAACTGCTAACACTCCAAAAGCAGTAATGATCTAGCAGAGACTGTTGATTGAGAAGACTTGTTGCTTGTCGTCCTTATATCATAAGCCCTGCTACTTATATTAAAACTATACTACCATCTTGAAAAGTCATGCTTCTTGTGTGGGTGTCGTGCTTCTTAGCTTGAACTTTTACTACCTATAAAAAGTTTTGTTGTTCTTCAATCCTCTGCTGTTTGAAACTCGTGTTGTTGATTGAGGGAGCCTTGTTATTGCGAATACGTGTTACTCTGATGTAAGCAATACATCACCTTATCGACTCATCTTGTTTAGAAACACTTGCTGGTGTAAGCTCCTGTGGTCTATAAACCTTTGTTATTGGTGATATCAACATCTACATCAACCTCCAAACTCGTACTATTCGGTAAAGTCTTTTTGCAATATAAACTTGTGATGCTACCAACTTCTATTGCTTGCGGCTTCATCACAACATCAACATGAAAGTCTTTTTGTGTTGATAGATCTCTCCTTTGAATTTGAGCACTTAGGCAGTTTTGCAACAAATAACGACTTAACAGCTAAACCATAAAACTAAAAATTTGGAGTCTAAATATCTATATATATATATATATATATATTACATTTTGCCTCATCAAAGTCTGTTACATTTATTCCTAACATATTCGTACATGTCTTCTATTTTTTTTTAACTTAATTAACGAAATTTTAGTTTGATTTTAACCTATTTTTTGCCTTTATAAATTTTCTAGAATGAAAATTTTGGTTTGTACATTATTTGGCTTTCAAAAAGTAGTTAAAATGTAATACTACTTGTTGGCTCACATGAAAGGATTACATTTTCATTAAAATTATATATATATATATATATATATATATATATATATATATATATATATATATATATATATATATATATATATATATATATATCTAAAAACATAATAAGTGTGAATGAAAGTTATACCCTTATTTATGTCCATTTTTTTCGTTAAGTTTTTTTTGTACATTATGCTATAAAGGTTGTACATTAAAATATTTTGGACAAACATACCCCTACCGTTATAACTTCTGTTATCTTTTCCACTATTATTACCATGCACATGCATCCACCATATATTTTCTTATCTTCTTCATTAATAATAATATGTACACATTAAATATTTGAGTTATATGTTAATTATTACATAAATATAAATATCAAATTTATAAAAATGATTTACATTATTATTATTATTATTATTTAGAATAATTTAAATATCTAAAATTTAAATAAATTTAAAATTTTAATATAACTTATTAATATTGGGCACCTATTTTTTGCGCATCGCGCATAAAAAATACTAGTATATATATATATATATATATATATATATATATATATATATATATAGAGAGAGAGAGAGAGAGAGAGAGAGAGAGAGAGAGAGAGAGATGCCTATAGGGGCACGCTCTAATGAGAACAAGCGCCCGGGAGAAAAATAAGGACTATTGACATCTGCTCATGTGTCCAAATCAACAAATCAGATGTAATTTTTTTAAAAAATGACGCGGTGGCATTTTTGTAAACAACTCGAACTTTGGTGCAAGTAAATGTGTTATAAGTGCAAGTAGCTGGTGCACCTTTAGAAGTAAAAAGTGCAAGTAAAATCACTTACAAGTGCACTTATTTTCACTTACAAGTGTAAGTAATTCACCTTGTTAACATTCATGCACGTAGGTGCATCTAATTATAACGTTAGGTGCAACTAGTTATAACGTTAGGTGTACTTAGTATTGATGCTCAGTGTATATTTTCCTTGCACCTGTAATACATTTTACTCGCACTTAGGCACACTATATGAAACTGCTAATTGCACTTGTAATAAATTTTACTTGCACTTCGATGTTCAATTATTTATGAAAATGTCACTGCATTTTTTTAAAAAAGTCAGTGTTTCTCATCCGTTAGATCTGGACGGATGTCATGTGTTCTAAATTCTCTCATGGGCGCACCGATAATCTAGACACATGGACAGCTGTAAATGGTTCTTACTTCTCTCCTGGGCGCTTGTTCTCATTAGAGCGTACCTATTGTTGGAGAATATATGCAACGTCAACACGGGGGTTGGCAATCTTTTAAGAAACAAGGACAAAATGGGTGTATGAGTAAAAGGGAGTCTATGTCGTGTCATAATAACACTGCCTTAAAAGCGTTATTTGCCTGGTGACGGTGCTGTCAGAACCCTGGCACGCTTTCGACACGCTACATAGACTAACTACGCTTAGTTCGCACCAACTATAGCGCAGGTGAACCTGAATTTGCTTAGACGACGACACAAAGCGATTAAAGAAAGGAGGATACGAAGATGATTATTGAGTGAATGTTTATGAAAGTAGATGGCCTTTAAATAGTGATTAAGCACATTCCTACAGCCATGCAATTCCACCATTTATTCTACTTCACTCATCTTCAACACATGTGAGCCACAATTTAGTCATGTAAGAAAAGCACAATCACAAACAATAACATAACTAAATATGTGGACTTTTTAATTTGGAGACAAAATATGTTCTTAATTATTTGGACCTTCGAATTTTCCAACAGTCCCCCACAAATTCTGAGGATTGTCAAGGAAACTTGTCTAAGCCATTCTCAAGAAAGGATAATCCCCCATATATTCAAAGTAGGAAACTAGAAAGGATAATATCTGAGCAATAATAGAAACGAGTTGATCTTAACGTCAGTGTTTGAGAACTTGAACTGACACGTAGCGACATTGAGTAATTTACTTCCTGAGAGTGATATAAATCTTGAACTCACCGGTTAGATAAATTTTGAAATCTAATGCACACCAACTCTAAGATCCAGGTTCTACGAAAGTCAAACTCTTTTGAATTCTTTTGAATACCCTTAGTATTCAAGTCTGTTATGTCTATCTTAATATAGACCTCCACCCTGTCAAAGTCTATCTCAACAAAGACTTTTAACTGTGACAAATCTTATCACATTATAGATATTTATGTCTTGTCAAGTCCATCTCAATATAGACTTTTAACTCCATCAAGTCTATCTCAGTATAGACCACCTTTAAAGGCTTATAGAGTAGTTAAAGACATAAATCAGTTCTAAGTCTTTTCATGATTTCGTTTGACCACAGAAGTGGTACCCGTCATAAATTCCTTACCTCACTGGTCTTAACCCCATCTCTCTTGATATTTCAAGGATGGTTTTTTAGTTTAGACCTTTCGTGAGAGGATTTCTCAGACCTCACAAACTTCATTGTAATCAACCTTTAGCCATCAACTGCCATTCAGACTCATGTCTGACCCTCATGTGTCTTCTCTTTCTATCATAGACACTGTTCTTTGCAATGCAAACGACACTTTGTGAATCACAATGTATAGGTAGTGAAGGTGTTGGACATTCCCACAACTACACGTTTATCAACATATTTCCTAACCACTCAGCTTCTTGAGATACCCCATTATCTTTCATGAATGGCGGTTAACCCTTTTCACTCAAGTGAGCGATTTCGTTAAGTCTACGTCAAAATAGACCACCCTAATTAGGTATAAATCATTAAGAGCACTTTTATGCTCAAGAATTAATTAAGCGGTGAATTCATTAGGCCCGTCTCAACAAAACCACCCTTCTCATAGGATTATGAATTCATTAAGAGCTGTAGCTCAACCTCACAAGTACACATATAATAGGAAAGACCAATTAATGTACTTCTTTGTGACTCTTTCCATGGTTTCGTCTGACCACACAAGTGGGGATCCACCACGAATTCATCACCTCTTGGGTTATAAGTCATTCCATCAATAATTCAACGACTAATCCCCATAATTAGCCTTCAAGTAGATCTTCTTGATCAAACTTACATACACTTTGACGAGTACTTCATTTAATCGTAAATAATATCCCTTGAGATTTTCATGCTTAACATGAAACATTCTCTTTTATCATTATTCTGAATACCATAGAGAAATTTTTGGTGAAAGTATAAGGATCTCTCCCCCCACAGTGCGGCAATTACGTACAAGTCCTTTTCTCAACTAAGATTTAGATCATATGTATAAGTGCTTATTTCTCGTAAGCCAAATAGATAATGTTGCTTGCATGCTGCTTCATGTGGAACAACATAATCACAAACTTCACATAATATTCTTAAAAGAAATTAATCTCACATGCAAAGAATATGTTCAAACTGGCATTTATTATGGAATATATTTCAACAAGGTGAATTCAACAAGCTAGTATGACTTTAACATTCAAAGTTATTCCACCTGCACAATATTTTCCTTCACTTGAGGAAATTCAAAACTCATATAAAGCATTCATATAAGTGTGCAACCAATCGGAACCGTACCGGGTATAAAGACCGCACAGTCTCTGGAAATCGCTTTTAAGGTAGTGTTCTATACATGACACAGATTTTCTCTTTCTTTCCTCTCATAAATCCAGCCTACATAAACAGCAGTACGCACTACGACATATATATATATATATATATATATATATATATATATATATATATATATATATATATATATATATATATATATATTTGAGATCCATTGAATATAAGAACGTCTCATATAAATCAACTATTCTTTAAAAAAAATAAAAATTTTAGGTGTGTTAACTTTAGGAAGCAGATATTGAAGAAAATATTACAGGATAAATTCACGCAAAACGTGAACCAAACATTACGTTTACCAACTTTTAAGAAGAAAACTATAGCCAAGTTGACGCATCAGCATGATGTCCCCTCACCCAGACTGGAGCAAGTTGTTTCATGGATGCAGGCTTTGATCCACGAACGGGCAAGGCCTCCTTTGGTGTTATCATCCTCTCACCGGTAGGTGGGTTTGTTGCTGCTGCAAACGGACCTCTTCGGAATTGCTCTTCTCTATTAATGGCTGAAACCATGGTGTGCAAAGAATCTCTCACTTGGTTGAACGATCGAGGTTTAACTACAATTCACATATGTTCAGACTACTCCAAACTTTGCCACAATCTGGCAACTCCCTCAGCTAATCTTAGGTCCTATATTGGCATTATGAATAGTGAATGTAGAACCTAATGTGTTTGTTCAATGTTTTCTCTATTCATTTTATTCCTCGTTCTTCTAACTCTCTAGCTCATTCATTAGCTACAATAGTTTATTCTCAGGCTAACAATTTGTACTGGGACTCTGTCCCTCCTGATTTTATCTTAGTTCCTTTATAAATCTATACTTGATTTACTTTTGAAAAAAAATACTACCAAATTAATTTTGTGTCCCAAAACGAGTATGTGACATTGTAACAAGGCATTGACATAGTAAAAAGTGTCATCCATTTAAAAGACTACTCTTTTTTTCTTTTTCTTTTTCTTTTTTTTTTTTTTGAAAATTGGACATTGTATATCCAATGATTCGACTCATTCATCGGTCTCTGAGACAGAAGTGAAGGGCCTATTCTTGTTTGAGTATTAATTTAATGTACAAGTAAAATTAAATGTTAGTATTTCAAATTTGTACTTTCTCATAGTATTTTAGATGATGAAGTAATAAATGTTATTGAATCTATGTAATATAAAAACTTTTTGGCATGCCAATATAGTGAGGAGAGAGCACAAAAAGGTTGGTCAATTGTGTGGAACACAACTCTCGTATTTAATGGTATGTAACAAGTTTGATTATTGTCAACACCCTCTTAATCTAGTCTATTGCACTACTATTACACAAGTACCGCATGTTGGAATTTTTTTAGTAAAAATGACATTTTAAATAGTTATTTTGTGGTACAAATATATGTGCGGTCCACTTTCGATTTAGGCCAGGTCAAAGTGGATTCAAGTTCTTCTAAGTGAGACAAAGAAATTGATATATTGTACATTCAAAATGGATAACAGGTGCCTATGTTATCCATATCTCAAACCATACAATCGTCACAAACTCTCATACCGATCCTCTCCATGTATCTTCTTAAGTTATCCTAAGTCGTTTCAGGGGTATAGGTGCATGGACTTACAGACTAACAAGATTTATGTGTGCAGGCATGTAATGTTTGATGAGACGGTTTATCCCTTTGCTACTAAAAATATTGTGCAGTCTTCTCAACCTGTGCAACATTACCAATGGGCTGAGTCTGTTCTTCGCCCCACTGCAGCAGCTGCTCCGTCCCTCGGCACGGTCGACGTCGCACCCAGCCCCAGCAGCGACGATCCCGCGCCGTCTCCACCGCCACACGCAACCGATGATCCACTGGGCTTGTCCGAGCATGAGCCGCATGAATAGACGGACCAACCAGCAAAATGTCCTCGTGGCCGTCCTCTAGGGAAAACCGTTAAATCCACAGTTCTGACTCATGAGATGCACACTCGGAGCCGGTATCAGGCTCCACCTTCAGCTTTAACGGTTCAGGTCTGTCCTTCGGATCCTACTTGTTACACTCAGGCAGTTAAATATTCAGAATGGCGTGAAGCTATGGATCAATAATTTAATGCCCTTCAACAGAATCAGACATGACACCTTGTGCAATCTCAGCCAGATATGAACATTATTGGGTGTACGTGGGTTTTTCGTACAAAATGAAAAGCAAATGGCTCCATTGGGAGACATAAAGCAAGACTTGTAGCAAAAAGATTTAATCAGGTGTCCGGTCAGGATTTCTTTTATACTTTCACAACAGAGATACATGCATGACATTCTAAAGCGTGCTGGAATGGCAAAATGCAAACCTTTGTCTATCCCTATTCCCACGTCAAAAGTCGTGCCCACTGCTACAGTATTACATGATGATCCTACACAGTACAGGAGTTTAGCTGGTGCATTACAGTATTTAACTATCAGTCGCCTTGATCTTTTCTTTGCAGTCAATCAGTTATGTCAACATATGCACGCGCCTATAGTTGCTCACTAGGAACAACTAAAAAGAGTCTTAAGGTATGTTAAAGGAACTGTTACTTTTGGTCTACGAGTCAGACAGTCATCTTTAAGAGAAATTCATGCCTTCTCTGATTCTGACTGGGCTTTCTGTCTGACAAGTGGCTTTGCTATTTTTATTGGATCTAATCTTGTATCATGGGTCTGCAAGAAACAAAGAACTGTTGCTAGATCTTCTACTGAGGCTGAATATAAAGCTCTAGCAGATGATTGTGCTGAGGTGATTTGGATCATGTCCCTTCTACGAGAAATCCATGTCCCAGGTATTTCGGTTCCATAATTATGGTGTGATAATCTTGGAGCTACGTATATGTGTGTCAATCCTATCTTTCATGCTCGCACCAAATACGTAGATATAGATTATCACTTTGTGCGAGATAGAGTTGCTGCTGGAGAAATTCAAGTCAATTTCATCTCAACAAAATATCAACTTGCAGACATATTTACCAAAGCATTGCCTAGTCCTAGATTTTCTTTTCTTAGAGACAAGCTACAAGTTACAAGTATACCATGTGTTTGAGGGGGAGTATTAGGACTAGTATTAGGATTCTTGTATTTGAGTCACAGTACAGTATGACTCCCTATTCTAGTCTCCCTCTGATTTCTCTTGTATATATTCCCCTTGTCTGTACAATTGTAATCATTGTTCATCTAATATAGTTTCCTTCAGTTCTCATCTGTGTAACTTAAATTTTATTGTATTTATATATAAATTGATTTATTCACACGACTTGATTTTCCTTGTATTTATATATAAATTGATTTATTGACACGACTTGAATTTCCATATTTATATATAAATTGATTGATTTATTGACTTATTCATTTCTACACCATTTGCAAATTTCCCTTATCATTCAAAAATAAAATCAGGCTAAAGCACACGCATGTGTAATACTTGCAATCATAGCTTCTTCTTTTTTCTTTTTCTTTTTCTTATTTTTTTTTAATTCCACATTCGCTCACTTGCAATTCTAACATTTGAAATCTTTTATTTTTTGCAATTCTATTGTAATAATTGCAAGTGTACGATATGTACTTTTTTTTTTTTGTTTAATTTCTATTTTTGATAAATTTGAACTTTTTTCTAAATACTTTTAAATAACACATTAATACTTAATTGCACACTTTTCATTCATTGATACATAGAAATTAAATTCATCATATGAATTATTGATTTCAAATTTTTATATAATACGGAGTACATTTTTTTAAAAAAATATTTGCGTAATAATACCATTTATTTTATTTTAATTTTCTAAAAATAATTTGCCGGAATTATAAGCTTTTACTTTTATTATATTTTTAATATTTGAAAATAATTTATATATTGATAAAAGAGAATATCTTAGAAAAATTATTAATAAAAGAAAATAATTTTTAAGGTGATGTGAAAGTGTGATCACTTTTGCAAGTATAGTGGATATAGATTTGCATGCATGTAGAGTGAATAGTGATTAATTACAAATTTAGTAATATGATAATATGACTCAATTGTAAGTGAAAAAAAAAAAATTACATGGATACAGATAGCGTAAGCCCTAAGGAGAGCAATTTTCCACCCAAAAATGTAACTAGGGAATTTTGCGACTCTATTACAAGGCAGTATCTGTTCTATACTTTTTTTTTTTTAACTATTGAAGAACAAAGAGTCAATTCCCTATCACCGGGATTCAATCTTGTGACTTTTCCTCAAGAGGAGCCACAGAGGTGCCATCTAAACACAAGGTGCTTGGCAAAATGAGTATTGTTTGATAAATAATGAATTGATTTAGGTCTGTGAGGAAATCCGAAACATGACTTTCAAAAGTTATTTTCCAAATTTTCCTGTGTTTGGGCATTCAAAGAAAGAAAAATATTTGGTGGACTTCCATTTTATACTTCCAACTTTTACTCCCTCTCACATGTTCTTGATGTAGACACTTTCTGTGGACCCACATGATGAAAATAACAAATCCTTGTTTGCCACATCAGGGAGTAAAACTCTCAAAGAAAATAAAGGGAGTAGAATTTAGAAGTATGCATAGTAGAACTCTCAAAGAAAATAAAGTCAAAAGAAAATATGCATGCCTTTTAACACTACTACTACTAAATATTTTTATGTTGAGTACACTTGTGTGAGACCGTCTCACGGGTCTCAATTTGTGAGACAGGTCGAATATTTGATTAATAGGTCAGATCCTTTACCTCATTAATCAAAGATCCGACCTGTCTCACGAATTGAGATTCATGAGACGGTCTCACACAAATTTTTGCCATTTACGTTCATTTTCAAAAATTTGAATCAAATAAAAAAAATGTAATTTCTAAACTTTAAACCAAACATAAAAATATAATTTTATGAGTTTTAGATAAATATCAAAACAATTTCAAAAATTCAAAAATAGAGTCATTTTTTGAAAATTATTTTTCAAAAAATATTTTTTAAGTTTCCAAATACACCCTTTCTATGGTATTTTCACTTTATTTTTCCAAAAGTTTTATTCATCCCCAAAAGTTTTGAGAGAAAGAATGATGACAATCCTAACAAATCTCGATTTTGTTTTTTTTTTTTTTGGTAAACTCTACCTTAAAGCATTTCAAGTAGTAGCTATTTGAAGTGTAATAGTAATAATCAATTAATTATTAAAATAATTCTTAAAATTAAATTATGATGAAATTTATATTTAAAATAGAAAAATACTTTAAGAATAAATGAATAATTAAATAAATAAAACATTATACTCATGTCGCAATAAATTATTTTATATGTTACTATGTAATAATTATTATTTTACTAATAAACACTTTTTTTACAAACAATTAATATTACTTTAAGTTGAAACAATTAACAAAATGTTAGTTAACAAAATTGTCAAATTAGCATTCCTTATATGTAAGGATTATGCTACAGAGATAAAAAGTTTTCATTAAAATCCTTCATGATCTAATGTGACAGTACAAGTAGATTCATTTCTTAACGCAAGATGGGGTCAGTCAATTCATGGTAACAGAAAATAAATAAAAAAAAAATTATATTAACAGGTCAGATGGTGAAAAACTGAAAATTTATTTATATGTAAACAAAATTCCTTTTGGCTGAACAATTAGAAGGATGGTAGTGAAATTGGAACTATTGAAACACTTCGATCACACTATACTCTAGAATCTCTACTTAAAATTTTGTGGATTAGCTAGATAAATAGTTAAAATTACAATTTATAGAGATAGTAGTTGGAGCATATCGTTCAAAATTCAGTGATAGTGGTTTTGTTTATGAGGTGAGGTCACAGCCACAATAATGCTTAAAGTATTCAATAGAATTGAACGCAACAAAAGGACAAGACATATTGCAATTTTATATTCTTATTTAGTCGGTGATCAAAAAAAGGCTTTTTCTTGTCTTCAACTCTTAATCATTAACATCCTCTATTCTTCTAGCTGCTGTTACGATTTCTTATCCCAAGACTGAATTCTTGATCCCAAGGATCTCAAACATTCGACTCGATAAAATATTTAGAATGATGTAAATTACAACAATTCAGCGGGTAAATAAATTAAACAAGGCCAAATACTAGTACACACAAAGAATTCGCTTACTTTAAATATAATTTTATACTGTTATTGTTGAGTTTAAATCTTGCTCTCTTGCCCTAACAAGGTGTTTAGTTGGAATGATGAAATTAGGGGAGAAAGGAATTGTAATTTCGTGGAAAAAGAATGAAGTAGGAATTTAAATTATATTGTTTGGTGAGAAGGAATACAACGATTGGAATTAAAAGGAAAGAAGTGAATAAAAACTAAAATGTCTTTATATAATAATAATAATATCTATAATAGGTAGAAAAATGATGGTCAAATTTTTTAATTAAATGAATGGCTCAGATTGATCAAATTTTAATTTTTTCTTAAGATTTCCTAATTTATCAATATGATTATCCGTTAACTTTTCCGTTAAATATTATCTTTTCCGTTAATTTCTGTTAGTTCACCGTTAACTTAATCATTGATTTCAATAAGAAAGGTCTTAGGTTCGAACCCCATCCCAATCAAAGTTGGCATAATTAGTACTCTATTTTATTTTTATTAAATTAAATAATAATTTAGTAGCTACAAAAAAAATGCATTTCTTTAATTTAGAATTATGTGTCTACAATGTTTTTATTCAAAAAAAAAAATTACTCATTAGCAATAAATTAAATTAGAGAAATAATTTTATTAGTTATATTGTCTTTATTTTTTTACAATATAAAAATTCTTTACATTCAAATTCATCAATTGATTATATTCGCTACATTGTCCTTACAATGTCTTTATTAAAAAACAAAAAATTATTCATTATCAATAAATTAATTAAGAGAAATAATTTTATTAGTTATATTGTCTTTATTTTTCTCCAATGTAAAAATTCTTTACATTCAAATTTATCAATTGATTATATTCACTACATTGTGTATTATCTTTTTTTTTTGTGCACTATTTTTTAATTAAATATCAAAGTTATAATACAAAATAATGCTATATATTTATTTACCAAGTATTTTATTAATACCATGAAAAAATTAAAAAAAAATATATATATAATTAATAAAGCCAATCATATTAACTACTTGGGATTTATTGACAAAGAGAGTATTCAAATCACACAACAAATTGAAGTGAGAACTACCTCGCAATGTCCTTGTTTGACAATTAGCAGTTAGCAGTTTGCGTTAGCGGATTTGACCAGCGAATTATATCAACGATTTGTAAAAAAATATTTGAAAAAATTAGTTGTTTAGATTAACATGTAAAAAATGACCTAAGGGTATACATATATTTAATAATAATAATAATAATAATAATAATAATAATAATAATAATAATAATAATAATAATAATAATAATAATAATAATAATAATAATAATAATAATAATAATAATAATAATAATAATAATTGTTTTAAAAAATAAAAAATAAAAAAAATTATAATTAAGCCAATCATATTAACTACTTGGCGGATTTATTGACAAAAAGAGTATTCAAATCACACAACAAATTGAAGTGGGAAACTACTACCTCGCCTATTTCCTTGTTTAGCAATCAAGGATTGAACTCCCAACCTTCCAAATGGAAGTCCAACCCGGATACCATTTGACCACATAGTCCTGGTTATGTCTCGTATTTGGTTTCAACCATACCTATACAATTACTTTATTGACAATTATAATCAATCTTGACTATATTATCTTGCATTTGTAAACTTAGAATTACCTATTTAAATACGCAAATACAACATTCAATTATCTATGCATGAACAATTTCAATATAATCTTTCCTTGATATACTTTGAAGTACTTATTTAAAAAAAAAAAAAAAAAAAGCATTGGGCATTATCCCAATCGCGCAATGCGCGTAGAAAACTAGTAATCATCATAAGAAAGATAAAATGATAATTTATCATGGAATTACAATTCCACAAAGTGTGGAATTGCAATTCCTAGGGTGACAATTCCATGGTTAGAAGGAATTGTAATTCCGTAAAATTGCAATTCTCTGCAACCAAACCATGGAATTGCAATTCTACGAAGTTTGTAGGAATGGAATTACAATTTCATAAAGTTTGGTACGAACAGAATTGCAATTTCGATCATCCTATCAAATATCTTATAAATATTACGTAGTATCTACTGAACTAATAAGTTAACATCCTGCAGGATGTTGCGATTTCTGAATGAAATGAAAGCCCTCATCTCTTTTGCATCTTAGACCGGAATTTTGAACACATTTTAATTTGCTTTATTTTAAATGTGGTCATCTATCTATACCTAGTCAACTTCTTATTAGTTATTATTCAATTATTAATTAGATCGTTGGATGGCGGAAAAGCTCTCGACTTAACGATGTCCTAGAGCGTAGTACGAAGAAAACCAAACGGGCAGCGTAGGACTGGCAACGCTGGCATCCGCAGAGGTGCAGATGACGGAAGGGGAGGAGGTGGTGCTTGAGACGCCGGCGGATGCGATGGGGGAGGTGGGCATCTCCTCTCTTCCGATGTCAGAAGCTGCGGTGGGTTCGTTCCCGTTGGGGATCACCCCTGTGGTGGCCCAAGAGAATGCGCCACCGTGGAAAACTTATGCTGAGAGTGTGGCTGGGACAAGCGCTGCGGCCGAAGATCTGGCAGTGGACTGCCCCGATCCGATGAATGCTCATGACGAGATTGAGGCGGATGAAGATGATGACCCTCTATGCCCTACGATCAGGCTGACCAAGGAAGAAGTGGAAAAGATCCGAGCACCCTGGCGAAAGACTCTGATTGTCAAAGTAATGGGGAGGAAAGTCGGTTATGCTTACATGCTAAGGCGGCTAACAGCCATATAGAAGCCAAAAGGAAGCCTGGAGTTGATCGCTCTAGACAATGACTACTTTCTGGTGAGATTCGGATCGATCGAAGACCTAGAATTCGCAATGTATGAAGGCCCTTGGATGGTGCTAGATCATTACTTAATGGTCAAGCCTTGGAAGCTAGATTTCGACCCCCTGAATGACAAAACGGAGAAAGTTTTAGTCTGGGTACGTATTCCTTACATTCCTGTGGAATATTATGATGTCATTTTCTTGCGAAAGCTAGGGAACCGAATTGGGCGCACGATCGGTGTAGATCGAGCCACCAGTCTGGTGTCGCGTGGCAAGTTTGCCAGGCTCTGTGTAGAGGTAGACATGTGCAAACCTTTGATCTCTAAATTTACCTATGAAGAGAAGGTTCTTCATGTGGCCTACGAAGGCATGCACATGATATGCTTTGTGTGTGGTCTGTATGGACATTCCAAAGAGGCATGCCCGCCCCTCCAGAAGGAGGTAATGGAACCGGCCGCAGATGGGGGGAACTGAGGTAGGGATTCAGCCAGAGAAACCGGTGACTGGTGAAGTCAGAGACCCAAAGGTGCCGTTTCGCACGTAAATGATTGCACCAAAGAGGGGGGGAAGGCCTCAGGCGATGGGGACTGCCCGACAGCCACGCCAGTCTATTGGTCAAGGGGAGGGTATGAAGCGCAGATCAGATCCTGTGGCTCTTGCTACCAGATTTGCGCCACTGGATAACGAGGATGATATGGTGGTAGTAGAGGACGCGCAACCTGGGGAAGCAGGGAACATGGGGGATGTTGAGGGGCCGGGACACGCAGCGGGTACCAATGCTGATGACAGGGCAAGCGGCCAAGGCATCCGATCTTTGACCACAGGCGGCGACAGAAGTAGGAGGCCGAACGTAGTGGTGTCAGAAAAGCAAATCGCCAATACGCCGCCGGTGTCGCAAGGGACTAAATCGGGTGCAGTGGTCTTGGTGGCCAGAGCAGGCCGGGAAAACAGCGGGAGGTCAAGGCGGGCAACGGAGGAGGACGAGCACGTTGTGGTCCGAGGCGAGAAAGGGGGACTGGTGATAAGTTCTTCTCGGGTGTCTGTGGGTGACACTGATGGCGATGTACCGTCACCAGTGTGGCAACCTACAAAGGAACACCATAGTGACCCGCCGGGAAGCTTCGACGATGAGGGGGATGCAGTTATGGATCTGGAGGTTGATCCAGCGCAGCATGAGAATGGAGGTAACGGGGGGCAGTTATGGATCTGGAGGTTGATCCAGCGCAGAATGAGAATGAAGGTAACGGGGGAACTCAATGAGCACCCTCGCTTGTGTTTTCTTTTATGGTTTGTTTGTTTTCGGGTGAGTTTTTTCCCAAAATGGTCCCTTGACTATTGCTCATTCTCAATTTTGCATTTCGACTTTTAATTGCACCTAATGTGGTCCCTTGACTTTTAAAAACTCCCCCAAATTGGTTCTCCGTTAGAAATTCCGTCTATTGAGTGTTAAAATGAAGGGCATTTTCGTCCATTTACCTATTATATGCCTAATATACTCTGAAAAATAGTCAAGGGACCATTTTGGGAATAGTCGAGGGATCATTTTGAGAAAAACTTGTTTATTTATTTCATTTTTGTTTATTTCCATTTCTGTAAGACTATCAAATTAGAGTTTCTATACATTTTTTTTTACAAATATAAATAGTTAAAATCCACAATCAAACCTCAAAATTTTAAACTTTCTATACAAATTTGTTCCTTCTGTCTAAACATACAAACTTTTCCTCTAATCCTATCAAGTTTTACAATAAGTTCTGTAAATTTCAAAAATATAATACTCATATACTTTTTATGTTCACACACACACACACACACACACACACTAAAACTTCAATAGACAATCAATCACTATGTATCATATTAAATATTATTTTTACCATTGAAAATAACATTACTATTTTTATCAGTTTAGACACTCAAAATGTACTCTTCACTTCTCGGTCACTATGCCTTTTGAAAATAAAATTATTATTTTTACAATCAATCGCTATGCTCTGGCACTTCTTCGAACTGAGAAGTACGCGTCACTTCTCGGTCAATGACAAAATCTTAGAAAATATTTTTGGAAAGTTGGCTTAACTTAGCCTGTAAGGCCATTAGTTTCATTCCAATGTTAGTGCAAACCATAGCTACCATTTCCAAATGACTATCTACCTAGAAGTACATCATGCTAAAGAGAGTCTAGAACTATGGCTATCAATTTTATGTCTTAAAGGACAAGTAAAATAAACCAAATGCAAAAATAATTAGCACAAAACAAACAATTCTAAACCTAAAGTCTCATCATTTACCAATAATACAAGTTCTTGTCATTTTGAAGTTTGTTTGTATTTTATATATGAATGTTAATAAACTTAAATTTGAAATTTAAACTTGTTTACCATAGTACGTAAACAAATAATAATTTTATTTTAACTATAAAAATAATATTTAATGTAATACATAGTGATTGATTGTCTTTTGAAGTTTTAATATGATTATATGATTATATGATTATATGATTTTGAAGTTTTAATATGATTATATGATTATATGATTATATGATTATATATATATATATATATATATATATATATATATATATATATATATATGAGTATTTATGAATGTTACGAAATTTATTGTAAAACTTGATAGGGATAGGGGACAAATTTGTACGTTTAGACAAAAGGAAAAAAATTGTAGTGAACGTTTAAAATTTTGAGATTTGATTGTGGATTTTAAGTATTTATATTTGTAAGAAAAAATGTATAGAAATTCTAATTTGATAGTGTTAAAAAATGGAAATAAATAAATGAGTTTTTCTCAAAATGATCCCTCGACTATTTCCAAAATGGTCCCTCGACTATTTTTCAGAGTATATTAGGCATATAATAGGTGAATGGACGAAAATGCCCATCATTTTAACACTCAATAGATGAAATTTCTAACGTAGGACCAATTTGGGGGAGTTTTTAAATGTCAAGGGACCACATTGGGTGCAATTAAAAGTCGAAATGCAAAATTGAGAATAAGCGATAGTCGAGGGATCATTTTGGGAAAAAACTCTTTTCGGGTGTTCTCGTTTCTGTTCCTTTTCTTGTTTGTTTACGGATTGCTTTTTCTGGAACGTCAGGGTGCGGGTGGCAAGCCGTTCCTGCGCGCCCTTAAGCATTTTCTTAGGACGCACCGTCCTTTCATTTTGGGCCTTTTCGAGCCCAAAGTATCAGGTGCCCAAGCTAACGCCATTTGCATGAAGTTGGGTTTCTCGGACTGTGTCCGGGTAGAAGCTGTTGGCTTTAGTGGTGGCATCTGGGTTTTCTGGAAAGACCCGATGCAGATAACGGTACTCAAAACTCACCCCCAATTTATGCTTTTGTAGGTAGATGTGCAAAACCAACCACCTGGATTCTTAGCACCGATCTACGGTAGGCCCGCCCACCACTTAAGACGGCGGTTATGGAAGGACCTCCGGCAGTCGGCACACGGCATTCATGGGCCATGCCTCATCGCCGGGGATTTCAACACGGTTCTGAACAGGGAGGAGACAAACAACTACAGTTCTTTTTCTTCCCATCGGAGTTCTGACTTTGCTAATTGGATACAAGATGAGGGCCTCATTGACGTGGGCTTCTCGGGGCCCAATCTTACTTGGGTCAAAGACGGGACCAGCGAAGCATTAAAAGGGGCCCGGCTCGATCGTGCTCTGTGCAACATGGATTGGCGTATTCAGTTCCCAGATGCGTGTGTTACCCACCTAGCGCGTTTAGCATCTGATCATGCGCCCTTTGTTTCTACAGGTACAGGGACGGCGGCAAGCAACATAACACGCACCTTTCTTCTTCCAAGCGGTTTGGCTCACGTATCCAGACCTGCATGGGATAGTTGAACGAGCTTGGAAACCTACTCTCAGTGCGGTGGAAAATGCGCTCCACCTGGCTGCCGAACTGGCAGTTTGGAACAGGGATTCTTTTGGATGTGTCTTTAAGCGAAAATGGTCCATCATGGCCCAGATACAAGGTCTTCAGAGGGCCATGGCTATTAACTACCACAGTGGAATGGTGAAGTTGGATACGAAGCTCAGAGAAGAAATGGAAGATGTCCTCCACCGTAACACGGCCTTCTATCACGCAGCTGCGACGATTCGCAAGTCCCGGAATGTTGTGCACAGGCTGGCGGACGATAACAGCGAGTGGATTTCGAAAGACACGGGGATTCGGGATCACATTCGTAATTTCTTTATCCAGCTCTTCTCTTATGCAGGTGATAGGGACCCCATGGAACAGATGTTTGCGAGTTTCCCGCGAATAAGGACCAGGAACTGGGCGTGTTTTAACCGACAGGTCTCCAAGGAGGAGGTTCATAAAGCCCTGAAGGACATGCAGCCTTTTAAAGCACCAGGTCCAGACGGGTTTCAGGCGGGCTTCTACCAGCAAATGTGGGACACAACCGATGATAGCATTTTTTGTTTGGTTAAAGAGGCTTTCGCAACGGGCAACCTACCTGCTGGCCTAAATGATACTCTTATCGTTCTAATCCCAAAGGTTAAGGCTCCGGAAACCATCAAACAATTCAGACCCATAAGCCTATGCAACGTAAGCTACAGGATCATTACGAAGACTATAACCAACAGGCTCAAGATCATCCTACCAAGATCGTAGGACCGTTTCAGAGTTCTTTTGTACCTGGCCGCCAGATTTCAGATAACGTGCTCATTTTCCAAGAAGTTATGCACTCAATGCGTGACAAACGTGGTACGAAGGGGTTCATGGAAATCAAGCTGGACCTTGAGAAAGCCTATGACCTTCTGTCTTGGAACTTCATTCAGGATACTCTGGAGCATGTCGGGTTTACGGCTAACTTAAAGAATCTCATGATGTCCTGCATTCGAACCTCGAGGTTTTCGCTTATTTGGAATGGGGAGCGGTTGGAGTATTTTTGCGGGGAGTGGGGCATCAGACAAGGGGATGCTATGTCGCCAGCCATTTTCGTTTTGTGCATGGAGCGGCTAAGTCAACTTATCGACTCCAAGGCTAAGGACCGCACCTGGAAAGGTATTCAACTTGTGCCAAATGGACCTATTCTAACCCATCTTTGTTTTGTAGATGATATGATCCTCTTCATGGAAGCGACTCACGATCAGGTGGAGGTAGTGAAAGATTGTCTAGAGTGTTTTTGTAAAGCCTCCGGTCAAAGGGTCAGCCTGGGTATGTCTCAAGTTTTCTTCTCGAAAAGCACAGATCAAGGCTTAGCGGATGAGATAGTCAACAGGTTAAACATTGAGCGAACAAACGACTTGGGGAAATACCTGGGAGTACCAGCTTTACATGGAAGGGTTACTTGCAATAATTTTTCTCATATGATGGACAGGATATCAAGCCGCCTCGAATGATGGAAAGCTAAGACCCTTTCGCTGGCAAGTCGTGCCGTTTTGGCCAAATTTGTTCTGAACGCAATCCCAGTCTACACCATGCAGACTGTGGCTCTACCTAAAGGCATCTGCATGGAAATTGAAAAGAAAACAAGGAGATTTATTTGGGGCAACAGCGACACATCAACCAAAATGAGTCTTGCTAACTAGGATTTCGTCACTTCGCCAAAAGATGTTTGCGGCTTGGGTGGGAAACGATTGACTGAGATGAATGTGGTGTGCATGGCAAAGCTTGGATGGAGGCTTAAGACGGAGCCAAACAGCCTCTGGGCACAAACCATCAACACGAAATACAGGATACTAGGAAAGGGCTTAGGGAACTCGCCAGGGAGGAAGAACGTTTCTAATGTTTGGCGGGGAATTGCTGTAGCTTGGGGGACTATGGAGGAGGGTCTAACTCGCATTGTTCGAAGTGGCAGAGAAACGCAATTTTGGATGGATAAAAGGCTCTCCCCGGAGCCTCTCTATGCGAAGCTACAAACCCCTCTTGCTCTGGGATGAAGCTTTATGCAAGTGTTAGAGATTACTGGGATGAAGCTTGTGGTTGGCGATGGGAATGTCTGGAAAATGCGTTTCCCATAGAGCTAAAAGAAAGACTCGCAAGTTTCATCTTAACGCTTAGCCATATGCCTGACACGATTGGGTGGAGCCTAGAACAAAATGGGAAGTTCTCGATTAGCTCGATGTACGATTATATTATAAGGGATTCAGACAGTACAACCGAGGGGGACTGGAGGGGCCTGTGGCGGATCCACGTCCCAACCAGGATCTGCATGTTCATGTGGTTAATTCGGCATCGACGGATTCTCACAAATGCTGAACGAGCAAGACGCAAACTAACAACTAACACTTTTTGTTTTCAGTGTGCAGGCAGAGTTGAGGATCTTGATCACCTTTTCAGGTTCTGTCGGGCTGCTAGTGTCATCTGGAAAGAGACGCTCCACCAAAGGCTGTAAGAGAGAATGGAAGCCATGCCCTGGACCGAGTGGCTCGCGACAAACATGAAAGGGGACTTAATGCAAGGTTTCGATGACGACTGGTCGGAGAAGTTTTGCACGAGGATCTGGTGGTTATGGCGATGGAGGAATGACGAGGTGTTTAACCACCACTCGCTGCCGACGAACCAGAAGCTGGAATGGTTGACAAGGTTCGATATTGAGGTTAAAGCTGCGTTCACAAGGCGAGTAAACCCGGAAAATGGAGGTAGGTCTCCAGATAGAGCTCAAGTGGGCTGGAAGAAACCGCCTAGTGGGTGGATGAAGCTGAACGTTGATGGCTGTCTCAATAGCAATGGCATAGCTGGGTGTGGTGGCATTCTCAGAGATGATCAAGGGATTTGGCAAAGAGGCTTTACGTTTAATATTGGTCGGTGTCAAGCTGTGGAGGCTGAAGCTTGGTGAATCCTCCAAGGTTTACGTATGGTGGCGGAGTATGGCGTTCCGAGGCTCATCCTGGAATGTGACTCCAATAGGCTAGTGGATTATATGCAGGGCAGGCCGGAAGGACGGGGGTTAACGAGTAACGTCGCGTGGAGATGCTTATAGGAGGCGGCTCATTTTGCCCGAAGTTAGTTTCATTCATGTATTAAGAGAAGGCAACAGGATTGCAGACAAGTTGGCTGAGGCTGCCCTCACACACCCCTTGGGCCTTCGTGTTCTCACAGAAACTCCATGGGAGCTAAGAGAAGCTCTCATCCATGACAGCCTGGGAGCAACAATGCCTAGAAGGCGACCTCAGGCTCTTACTAGAGTAAATGGCCACAGCTGAGCTTTTTGGGTGTCCCCATCCCTCTGGATCCAAAAAAAAATAAAAAATCTATACCTAGTCAACTCATCTAATCAACAAGAGTTACATGTGGGCCATGTGGCCTTGTAATTTGTCCACCAGTAATTAGCTCATATTTTTCAACAGCCCTATTCATTTAATTAAAATAAAAATTTGTGTGAAATTGTTTCAATTATTCTTATTCGTGAAACAAGTTAGATTGTAGACAATTGCAGGTATGTTAATATCATAATTTCAGTTATAATATTTATCATTAGTAAAATTAATTTTATCCATCATACTTTCACATTAAGTATTACAATATATATTATAAGTAACGATTTATTTTTAATTCAAATTGGTATTAAATTTTTTATAATAAGTATTACAATTTCTTTCATAAGTAACATTTTACATGTAAGTATTACAATATTTACACTAAAATTACACTTTGTAAATTGTAAGTATCACAATTCTAGTTATAAGTATTACAATATTTATATTAGTAAGAATCATTTTACCCTAAATAGTAGTATCACAATTTCACATATAAATATTACAATAATCTATTATAGGTAACAATTTATTTATTTCAACTTGGTAATAAATTTTCTATAATACGTATTTGATTGCAGTATATTTTCAAACAAATAAACTCGGAGTAACGAGTTATCGATCCACAGGGAAGTGGGGTATTAAGCACTAGATACTAATTTATTCACAAGAAGCTTATCCTAACGAAAGACATGCTTGAGCAATGACAAAAACTAAATAAAAGAACAATTATGCAAGTTTGTGGAAACAATTGAGAAAGAGTAAGATTCATGGGATTCATGTATTTAATCACCTAGTGTCAATCCTAAGAACAATATTAAAATTTGGGTTTAACAAGTGTGAGAATGCAAAGGTGGTATAGAGTTACTCCCGTAAACTCTAACCTAAGTGAATATTCGCTCCCGCGATATAAACACAGAACAATGAAAGAACAAGCATTCGTAATAAATCCCTAATTACTACCATCTCCCGATGTGCAACAATCAAGAATTAAGGTCCATAACATATTTGCCAACTCCCAAGGTGCAACAGTTAAGTACAATTGTGTCAATGTGTGTGCCCTAAATTATGTCCAACTCCCGTTGTGACACAAACAAAGCTATGAAGCAAGTAATTTGGGCCCTAAACTACTAGCAACAACAATATGAATCACAATTGCAACACAATTAAGTTAAAACCCAAATAATAATAAATTAAAGCATTAAAGAACTAGGCGCATAGGTTTATAAACACTTTACCCAAGAATCTCTAAGAAAACTTAGCCACACCCGGCTAAGATGCAATACATATCAATAATTAGGAGTATACAAATAATCGAAAAGAGTACAAGGATTAAACCAAGCGATTATCCCGGCCAAATCTCATTAGCTTGCTACTTGCTTTCCAATATAATTTGTGGCTCTCAATTCTCTTCTTTCTTTTCTCCAAAACTCTTAATAATCCCTCTAGGGTTGAACCAAAGTGGGATTTTATAGCAGGAACCAAACCTGGGGCAAAATGGGAAACTTCGCTTGGAATTTGGAAGCTGCCAAAATCGCGCCCAGGCCGACTCAACGCGTCGAATCCAAAGCGTCGATTTTCTGGGGTCTCGGCTGGACTTCTCGACGCGTCGAGACATCACTTGACGCGTTGAGTCTTCGGCTGAAGCTTTCGGACCCTAGGGCTCGACGCGTCGAGTCCTCTGTTGCTTCTCGGACTCGGCTGCTAGTCTGGTTCGACACGTCGAGTCTGATTCTCGACGCGTGAAATCTTCTATGTACGCACCTTTCGATCCACTTTGCGTCCAAACTTGTCCTAGAACTTTCCTTGCTTTTGCACTTGACCTATAATGGTTCCAAAACACTAACAAACACCGTAAAACATTCAAAACAAGTGTAAACCATATCTAAATGATAAAGCAAGGGAAAAAGCAATTAATGTGACATTTTCATGAACTAAAACTCCAAAAATATGCTCCAATCAACAATAGAAATATGCACAATTAAACTCACATCAGTAATATGATTTCATTATAAGTAACAAGCAACTATCTTAGATTCGACCCGTCTCAGCTCACGAATCTCACACAAGTGTGACTCTTCAATTTAAAAAGTTGTATGTATAATTTTGAATGCCAAACTTTCCTCACAACTCCTACTATACCTTAAAAACTGGTAGATAGGATAAATTACGGGATGTTCTTCAATTGGTCTACAAACTCCAAAAGTTTGTATATTGATGCCTACAAGAAGGTAAAATAAAAAATCTCAAAAACCCCCACACTCCAACTCGACAGAGTATTTGAATATATATATATATATATATTATATATATATATATATATATATATATATATATATATATATATATATATATTATAGTAACTCAGTAGCTCAGTAGAGAAGGTCAAATGCCCACACTACTGTTGTTAAGTTTCGAATATTGGTCTTATCTTAAATACTGTTTACTGAACCAGTGAGCGAAATTCGCGTATGTGTGAGCAGTATATATATACTACATGCATGTATCGTGACAATTCCAATGCTTGGGGAGTTGAAGCATGGAAGTATCCGACCAGTTTTTTAGTGTTGGTGTTACATTGGACGGGGACGAAGGTGATGTCAACGGCTACATTGAGAGGGCACTTTTGCGTTTTTTTTTTTTTTTTTTTCAAAGTGGAAGAGAGAAGTAAAATAATAATAATAATAATAATAATAATTATTATTATTATTATTATTATTATTATTATTATTATTATTATTATTATTATTATTATTATTATTATTATTATTATTATTATTATTATTATTATTATTATTATTATTGTTGTTGTTGTTGTTGTTGTTGTTGTTATAAACAAAAAACCAAAAAAAAAATAACAAAAAAACCAAAAAAAAAAAAAACAAAAAAAAAAAAAAACCTAAAACTTACCTTGCAAACTTGGGCTATGTTTGTCATACCTAGCATATGCATGAAAATTGAAAACTAAAAAGCTAGTAGTTAATAATTTAATTAATTAAAATTAGAATACTATGACTATGTGGTCTAATGGTACTTGGATTGGACTTTTATTTGAAAAGGTTGTAAGTTCGAGTTTCAGTGGAGGCGTTATTTGTTCTCTGTGTTTATCTATTACTACATTGTAATAGAGTTTCAAAAAATTAAAATTAGTTGTTAAATGGACATTAAATGAGATATTAAAGTTTTGATAAATAATGCCATTTTTGTAAATTAGTAAACATTAAACTCCTCATATTTTATCAAACAAAAATTATAGTTTATTTATAATTTAAAATAAGTTATTAAGTTCAAATTAAAAATAAACATTACTAAACAGAGTCAAGGTTTCTCTTTTTTCCACCTGGCGACAGCCCCAAACCAAAGAAAGAAAAAAAGAAAACAAAAGAAAAAAATCTTTTGCAAGGCATACCCACACGGCCACACATTCTTCTCATCTACTCTTTCTTTTCCACCTCACAAAAACCCACCCAAAATCCCAAAAAAAAAAAAAAAAAACACCCCACTATTTTTTTTGAAAACAAAACACCCCACTATAAGAGTTGCTATAATGACTATTATTATATTTTTAATTTTTAATTTTCTTTTCTTATTTTGATATTTATTTGTGCCACTTCAAATTTTGCTAACTGATATTTATTAGCTCATACATAGGTGTGGGTATGCCTTGCAAAAGATATTTATTA